ATCTATCCCAAAATAATTATTTTTTATTTTAAATTTCTGCTAAATTAATTATTGTTTTTTTATTTTTCAAAGTAAACAAATTTTGTTTATTTTAACCTTATTATTATTTATTTAATTAATTATCTAATTACAAATTTTTTTTTATCTTTTATTTCTTTTTTTTTAAAGATATTAGTGATAAATATAAATATTGTCCCTAAATTCTTAATTTAAGAAAAAAATCAACAAATAGTAGTTATTTTGGGATAAAGAGAGTATTACCTCTATTTAAGTTTAGTAGGTTTAATTTGACTCTTTAACTTTTTTAGATATAAATTTTAAATAAAAATTTAACATATTATATAAATGATAATTGAATTTTTTTATTGAATAAAACCACTCAACCAGAATTACATGTAGAAAAAAATTCAAAAATTTCAATTGTAATTCTTATAGATTATTAAATTTTATTTAAAATTTATATTTAAAAAATTAAAAAATTAAATTAAAACAAAATTATTTAGAAAGGAGATGCATATGGATTTTAAAGGAGTTTCTTACTTTATAAAGACAGTTGGATGAGAGTCAAGCTAGTCCTTCCATCATAAATTCACTCCTTGTCTAATAATTTTAATTATATAATATTATATCATACAATAAATTATATAACGAAAGATAATTGGATGAGAATCAAGCTAACCCTACCATCATAAATTCACTTCTTATTTAATAATTTTAATTATATAATACTACATCATATAATAAATTATATGACGCAGGATAATTACTTCTCATTCCCAAACTTCGTTGTATCCATATCTAAATTTGAATTTGATATAGCCATCGTGAAAGTAAGAGCTTGTAATTATTGTGGCTTATCTTCGGGGCCCAAGCTCCTTTAACAGTTACTGGTTTTGAAAAGGAATGTGGAATTCTCACTTGGCGGGACACCAATACTTCTCCAACGCGTGGATTTTTCCATTGTTAACTCATTTTGGCTCGAAATAATTATGGGAATGTGGAATTCTCAGTTTGCTTGTGATTGTGGAACACTTTGTAGTTGTATTATTATTATTATTTCAAAAGTTATAATTCATGCAAACCGATCATACAATTGTCAATTTTGCACCACTGCTGAAATTAATTAGAGGAATGCTTGTGATTGTGGAATGCTTTGTAGTTGTATTATTATTGTTAGGGTTTGTTTAATGTGTGCCTTAAAGACACATTTTAAAGACGTAATAAATTTATTTTTTTGTAATTAATTTACATTAAAATTTGTAAAAGTTGATATATTTTAACATCACTCATATATAGATAATTTTAATTAGTTAACTGATTAAATCAAAATTAACATTTATATTTTTAATAAAAGTAAACTATGAAAATATATATTTATTACACTCTTATCCTGTGTCTTTATTATTATTTTAAAAGGTAAAATTCATGCAAAACAACCGTACAATTGTCAATTTTGCACCACTTCTAGAAGCATGTAAGCTCAAAAACTCTCAAAATGGTCATCATTTCAAACATGTGTAGTATGTTAAACTAATCGGCATAGTGGTAATTGTTTTGCTCAAGTGGGCAGGGCTTTACTTTTTTGCACGCGGCAAACTTATTGTCTTTAAGACTTTCAGCCCTCTGCATACATTTCAAGTATGCTAGCCCTTAGACTTCATGTCATTAAGACAACTGGTCCAAAAATGGATACCAACCTGTGCTGTGTTTCACATTATCCCATTATATTCTTTTATCCCTATTACTCCAATTTATTGACAAGGGAAAGAAGGTTTTCATTGAGGATAAATATAGTATTTCAATTTATTATAATCAATGTATTTTTAGTTTGTTTCTAAATTGCTATTATAAGTGGTGCAAGTATCATCTTTTATATTAAATTTAAAATTAATTTTTAAAATGTATTAAATTGATGCCCGAATGAGTGTTAATGTTACATAAAAAAATTAATTTAAAATATATAAAAATAAACTGAGAACACTTAACCGTAGGTATATGTAAAAAGAAGTTTCACGAATTAAAAACTTTCAAACGGGTGTGTTTTATACATATTATATTGTGTGTTCGTTTGGGTAAAAACAAAGGAAGATGAGAATTATTTTTTTAAATAAATAATTTCAAAAATATAATAAAATAAATAAAGTTTAATGATCTTGGTCAAGGGTGGAATACTGGAATGTTTTGAAGAAATGGAAAGCGTTAGGAAACGAACAAATGAAGACTCCACCGGGCGAATGTATTGGGAGAGCCGCCTGCGAAAAAAAGAAAGGAGAATTAAATATTAGTTTGGTCTTTTAATTTTAAGATTTTGTAAAATTTTTTATGTAATTTTTAATTTTTAATTTTGAGAAAATTATTTTTTAGTTTTTTTTTGTCTATTAGTTTATTAAGTTTGTTTAAATAAATATATTTCTCAACTTGTAATGGATACATATTTTTCATTTCTTAATTTAAAAGTTTATGATTAAAAAAATATATAGATAAATTTAATAAATTAATTAATAAAAACCAAAAAATTATAGTTTTTATAATTAAAAGATAAAAACATATAAAAAAATGAAAAATGAAAACTATATAAAGCTTTAACATTGAAAAACTAAAATTAATACATTCAATAATAAGTGACCTAATAACCACTCTTTTGATAAAAAATACTAAAACGTAAAACCCTAAATTTAATATCCAGATAATACTCCCTCATCCTCAAAATTCTCCTAAGTTCAAAAAAAAAAAAAAACTAAAATTAATATGAGTGTCTTATACTACAATTCGTTCGGTGGCGAATCATAAGAGCAAAACCATCATAAAAAGAAGAGGAGGAAAGTCCAACATTAAAGAATTCTTTTTTTTAATGGTCTTGATTTTATAATACGCCTTTACAGTTATTCAAATTGGTATTAAAAAAAAAAATGAAGAAGAAAGAAAGAAGTTCACGAGATGGCGGATTGGGCGGGAGGGTGTAAAGTTGTACTGTTAAGAGAGAGGAGAGTCAGAGTGGGACGTTTTGAATGGGATTTTTCCTGATGTGGAATCTCTTCTGAACTGATCTCTTCTGTTTCTGACACCAACCTTTGGCTTTTGCCTCTGCACCAATATTCCCTTCTACCCTGCTCAGTGGCAGTACCCACCCATCCAGCTGTGCTGCGCCCATG